CCTAATTTGTTTCATTGTAAAAGGTTAATTTTGAAAGCATTCAAAATGTTTTGTCCCCGAACTTTGACTGCTAATTTTTAACCTGTGGATTGATATGAATGTATTTATATACCATTTGTATATTATTGATAATATATTTTGTTATAAATAACTATATTACATAATATTATCAGATAATTTTTTATCGTGTATCTGAATAATGAATACTAATATATTAAACGTGTAGGCTTTTAGTATTGCAGTGTAATAACTATTAAAATAAATCATTTTTAATTTTGAAATGCATCAAATTAGTTAATTTTTATTTAGTTTCTCGTTAATTTCAACATTATTTAATAGGTATTCTCCAAACGCGTTAAATAATGTATTAGTGTAAGGTATTATATTTTATGTTTGTTTTKTAGGAGAGAAAATATTGACATTTCATATATTATGATATGAAATCGCATTWTACTATTTATTATAGCTATTATAAATTGTTTATGTTATACCATTAATTCATAAGTTTTATATTGAATTTTGTTTGTTTTACTTGAAATCGGAATATTTTTATTTTGGAAGTCCTGGTTTACTGGCAACATAAATGTTTATGCATGTTTGTTTGCCAAATTCAGTATGTTGCCAAAGGCTTGTCCTTGAACTAGGTTTTACTGACATTACTTACTCCCAATAAACGATAATGAAAATCATTTTCATCATTACAAACACATAACAAAGCATTTTTCGTGCTCAACATAATTTTTTTCCAGGTACCATGACAAARGACCAAGCAAGTAAACGTTTTTATCGAGTGGATAGTAATTATGATTTTACTGCGTTTATGGATCGCGGCCAAACAGCTGCATACGAAAATCGATGGGTTTTTGAAACAGCTTGGGAAGTCTGCAATAAAGGTTTGTTCATAATATTTCAGTAACGTTACATCTATTCATAATAATTATGTAAAATATTTGTTACTATATATTATATATTTTTTGTCCAGTAAATAATTTATGATGATTATCATATGATTGATTATCCACAAATACTAATAAGCAATCTACAGCTAGTAAATAATAAACAAGAAGAACTATATTAATTATTATAATAGTATACTAGTATTAAGAATTTCCGTAATTTTTTTCTATTACATTCTTACATTATTTTATTATTAATTAAATTATTTTTCACTTTTAAAATTATTTGCGAGTRAATTGATAAGTCGGCAAGAGTGTAATAACCATAACATAATAACAACAATAACAAAATATATACATGATCAATACAATTATTTGTGAATTTTCCTTATCGAAATTCTAGTAGTATACCTAATAAACAATATAAACAATATTATAATAAAATAATAATATTATTGTTTCGAAATAAATAATGAAAACAGCTAAAATAAAGATACTTTACCCAAATTTAAGACAGTCAAATTTTTAAATGTGCTAAATTCCAGATGGTTTTTAATTTTTTCATTTGATTAAGTTACAAAAATATACATACCTATAAACATAATTTCTTAGTTTGAATATATTATACARATGGTTGATGTAACCATTTTTATTTAAGTGGACACTTCTTTCAATTTATACCATGATGACTATTACTTTCATATTTATTAGTATATGTGTGCGTTTGGTTATTGCGAGTATAAACATATGTGAGTGGATTACATAAGAAAAACACCAAAAATACATATGTTTTATACCAATTATACATATTATTTAAAAAAAAAATTGATAAACAGAYAGGCAATTTTAATTTTTCGTTACGATCGATATAGGTACCTAGTCTCTTAAAATGTTATGATGAATTTCATAATATAATAAAAGTATTTCATACATACATTATTTTTAGTTTTACTTATCATTAAAATTGGCATTTTACTAAAATATTTCGACACTATT